TGTGTTTGGTCATAAAAATTAAATTTAAAGAACATTTTTACACGTGAAATAAAGTGAAATATATACACAAGTCATCAATTTTAAAATCTGTGGTTTAGAGTAAAGGCCTGTTAAGTAATGTTTAAATGATATTACTTTCAAAATGGAAATTTGGGATTTTTAAAATAATAATTTGTATGATCAAGCATTCTGTGTACTAAACTGCAAATGTTAATGTGTGACAGGTGCCTAAGAACCCAGACCTGGGAGCTGATGCTGAGAGGGTAAGGAAGGAAGAACAGAGTAAGATTGACGAGGCAGATGTCCTAACAGAGGAGGAGCTGGCAGAAAAGGAGGATCTTCTCAAAGAGGTTCGTGAAGCTTTAAAGGGGGAATGTGTCAAAACCTGGGAAAGATTTCCATCAAGTGACATTGCATAGAATTTGTGTGTACATTTAAAAAAATGATTTATGTTATATTCAACAGGGATTTACCAATTGGAGCAAAAGAGATTTCAATCAGTTTATTAAGGCCAACGAGAAGTATGGTCGCGATGACTTGGACAGCATTGCCCGTGATGTTGAGGGAAAGACACCAGAGGAAGTGATGGAATACTCAGGGGTGTTCTGGGATAGGTGTAATGAACTCACGGACATCGAGAAAATCATGGCTCAGATAGAACGTGGAGAAGCCAAGATTCAGCGCAGGATCAGCATAAAGAAGGCACTGGATGCTAAGGTAAAATAAAGAAGAGAATTAATCTCTCCAATATAGAACTCTGTACAGTAAAACATGCTTACCCATAATGCGCACATAATGAATTGCACTTACAGCAAAGTGATTTTCATTCCCCACGACTTTAAAATATATTGTAAACTTAATGGATATAATGAATTACACTTATAAGGAAGCAAAATGGTCAAAAATTATTTATGGAATATTTAAGAATTTTTTGCTGTATTTCAGATGGCCCGCTACAGAGCTCCATTCCACCAGCTGAGGATTCAGTATGGTACAAACAAAGGCAAGAACTACACAGAGGAGGAGGACAGGTTCCTAATTTGTATGCTACATAAGCTCGGCTTTGACAAGGAGAATGTGTATGATGAGCTAAGGACGTCAGTACGCCAGGCTCCACAATTCAGATTTGACTGGTTCATCAAATCAAGGACAGCAATGGTAGGCAATATCCTAATAAAACTATTCTTGATTTTCATGTATATTCCATTGCAGGAGAAAAAAATATCTTCATTTATTGTTGGAATGTTCTGAGACCAAAAAAGAACAAACAAACAATTTGATTTATACTGTAAAGCTTTGATTAACCAAAAGGAAAAAAGAAATGGCATAGGCTGTCTGATACATGTACATGTATCTGAGGAAAGAATACCATTTAGGAAGTTTGGTTGTGTATCATTGAAAATTCTCTTTCAGGAGTTGCAAAGAAGGTGCAATACTTTAATCACATTGATAGAAAGAGAGAACATGGAACTGGAAGAAAAAGAAAAGGCAGAAAAAAGGCGACGAGGAAAAACGGGTACCCCGAAAGGACAGAAGAGAAAGGCCGATGCAATGGACAATAGGGGTCGACCAAAGAAGAAAAAGTGATTCTCTTAATGAAAAAAACAGACAAAGTGAAAATCCAGACAAAGGACCAAACCAGTGTAATACCAGGATGGCTTGTGATTTTCCTACAGTTTTGTGGCATTTGAGGAACTGTTTGTTTTAATTAAGTCCATTATCCAACTGTGGTTCACAACATGTTTGATTGTCTTAATACCAGGGGTGTCCGTGACTTGTCTGTTTCAGATAAATTTATCTTTGGAATACTAACGATGTAGTTTTATCAGTTGTCAGTTGTGCATGTAGTTGGTGTCAAACATAAATTTGTATTTTTTTTTAGAAGGTTTTTTAATGTATTCATGTACCATGATTGTATATAACATTGGATAATCATTCAGAAATCATTCATTATTATTTTTCTCATAATTTTATCAACCTCCATCATTCATATAATAATTGTCATAGAGTAATAGTGCACAATCATTAAATGTTCAGAAATATTATTTATTTTTTGATTAATTTAGATTTTGGAGCAGTTGTTGGTGATTGCCATCTGCAAGCAGTTGTGTTTCTATCTTGAGTTATGATTTATGCAAACAAACACCCATTCTGATTAGATTCAAACTTCATGGTGTTCCTCATCTTGATTTATGGTACATATAATAAGGGACTCCGACCCTCAGCCAGGAAGGACAACTTTTTAATTTATAATTCAATTCAAAAAGTCTTTAAATGAATCTTGAAAATTAAATCTTTTCATCCAACAATTTTCATTATATGATCTCAATATGCTTCAAGGTTCTTTGAACTTCTCAGAAAGGTCTAATTAAAAGCAGAAATTTTTATCCTGAAAAAGCATTTTTAGATACCAATGTGAATTAACATAATATGAAATTAGAAGTGATTTATGGAGCTTTGCAAAGAACCTTGAAGCACATTGAGAGGCATATAATGAAAATTGTTGCATGAAAATATTTAATTTTCAAGCTTCATTTAAAGACTTTTTGAATTAAATTATAAATTAAAGAGCTGACCTTCCTGGCTGAGGGTCGGAGTCCCATAAAATGCCTGTATGTGATAGCCAAATAAGGATAAACTCAAGTTAGATTGAAGAATTCAACCAACATATGAGAAATTGAGGATTGCCAAAAAAAAAAAAATCATTAAATAGGATTCAAATTGGAATTCCTGGGTACTGAAGAAAAATAACTGAATGCATTGCTTTATTTAACAAGGTGCCTCCTCCACAAATATGGATTTTGTGGCCTCTGGGTTGGATTTCTGGTTTTAGTTGGGCTAAATTGACTTGATATTAAATGTATAATTCTGTGAAAATCTCAGTTTCTGGGTATTTATCCGGTGAACTATGCACATGGATTAAGCATAAATGATTGATTGTATATTGTTTATAATGTCCCATTCGAGAATTTTTCACCCATACAGAGACGACACAGTATGCCAGTGAAGGGCTTCAAAGTCAGATCTATACTCGGCACTCAGGGCCATTGAGCAGTGAGGGTTCTTTATCGTGCAAACACCTACCGTGACCTACGTTTTTAAGGTCATAGACCCGTGACTTTCACTTCTAGTGCCGAGAGCTTGGTGAAGGAACGGCCACTACCTGTTTATGTCTTAGGTTTTATGCGGCACAGCGAACAAGAATTGAACCCAGGCCTCCCAATCACGAAGCTAGACATTAATGAAGCTCATGGTTAAGAGGAGGAACATCTTCGTCAGCCAAGGGTTTCTGATTTGCTACTCTCCTCATTAACTTATGAAATTCATTGTCCCTGTGTCATGGCTGTAGTATTAAGGCAGGGCTCTATATAAATGCAAAAATTTGGGGATCAATATATTTTTCTTTGTCCTTAGTATTTAGCGGGCAAACTAAAGTTGTGATATGATAAGCCAGGATGCATCTTCCAAAAAAAGAGCATGTGTGGATCTAGGAGGGGTATAGGAGGAGAGACTTCAGGAAGGGAAGGCATGGCCATAGGGCATTATTGTATAAAATTTCATTGCTAAAGCTCAAAAGATTCTTGGGATATTGCTTGTAAATGAGAATTTTAAACTTACACAATGAATAAATTATGAATATAAAATATGACCTTGACCTCAAAATAAATAGGTCTTCCTTAGTCCACAGGTAGTTATGTTTTAAAATTTTATTGCAAATGCTCGAAGGCTTCTCCAGATATCGTGTGGAAACATAAGTGTTAAAACAGACTGAATTTTTTTTATTTATGACCTTTACCTTTTGACCTCCAGGCAGTTGTTTAAAATTTCATTGCAAAAGCTCAAAGGTTTCTTGAGATATCGCGTGGAAACAAAAGTTTCACAGACAGAATAACAGACAGGGGGACAGATAGACCAAAATAGCTCTCACTTTCAGTTAAGCAAGGGGTAAAAATTCATACCCTGTTATATGAGAGTTCTGTTAATTATACAGAGAAAAATGCATTATTTCTTTGTTAACTCTTTTTATGCTACCTACTTGTTATTTAGCAGATAAAGTACATATAGTAATAATCAGCAGGGTTGCCTCTTCCAAAAAGTGAATTTTTATGATCCCTTGTGCAGGAGTTCTGGTAATAATGCAATGCATTACATGTATATGGCAAAATACTGAAAATAGCATTATATATCTTTTAAAATCCTGCTCGATAATCATGTTTTGTTACCATTAGGTCTTTCTCATTCTTTTTTTTAAGAATGGGCTTATGTTGAAGAGGAAATGCACATTAATGGTCATGACACTCTCACTTCATAAACAATCTGTCCAATATGAGCTGTTATTGTTTTCCATTATTGAGTTGTGGTCTGGTCAAGGTTGCATAAATTTAGACTTATGGAAAACTCAATTGTTCTCTTTCAAAATTGGGTATGGCTCTTCAGATGAATTTTTTCCCAATCCACAGGGATAGTGATTAATAACTTTCAAGACAAAATAAAAACTGCACACAAGAATGTTTCACATTTTGAATTTATTGACTTTGACATCTAGGCATGTTCCATGTCACTCTGTTCATGCTTCAGTTTTCATAAAGAAATTGGATTTCACCTGTCATTCCTTCATCATAATAATTTTATAGGACTATTTCTTTAATCACTAATAACAATCTTCTGTAACAAAGCTAATTGAAATGTCGTTAATAGTGTTGAAAAATTGATCATAGCGACTTTATTTATCAATATTTCTAAGATTTTGTATCCCTGTCTAGAAAATATACACAAGAAATCCACAATGCACACAACAAACAAGCTTCTCTGTCCAACAATGACAATGAAACTGTCCTTATTAACACACTGCAGTAAACCAGAGGTCACCCTACATTTTATGAAACTCTAGAAAGAACTACTTACAATTCTCATGTGAAAGGGACTAGACTTTGAAGATCTTTTCATCCACAACAAACTTCTAACCATGGAATCTAAATACACAAACTGAACATTACCTGTTTGACAATAGCTATTTTGTTTATTTTTGCATGCATAAAAGAACCCTCTAACACAGCTTATAAAATGTTTCTGCAACATTTTCCGAGTCTCCTACAGGTATGTATGGCAACAGAGAGACAATTCATATCACTACTAACCAACAAATGTATTTGAAAGAGTAGTTCTTAACAAAAAAAGGCTTTCCTTACAACATCGAGTCAACAATAATGATGACTGGCACCTACTCCTCATGTACACAACAAATCTCTGAATCAATCCAATGGAACAGGCTGAAATTATCCCCCCTTCTTCTTTGTGTTGGATTTAAATATAAAGCAAGTACTTTTTCTCACAAATACGAGGTAAAAAAAAAATTTCAACAGCACTGTATAAATTTATGACTCTTGGAGTTAAATATTTTGGGTTAAAAAAATGTAAGCAAGTGTCCATGAATAGCCACAATTTTTTTCCCAAAATATTTCCATTTTTTTATGTAAAGTGTTCTAAAGATTCTTACAGTTTTGAATCAGATGTCAAAACATTCATTTGTATTGTTTGACAAATTGGCAAAAATTACTGCGTCACCATTTTCAATGGGTGGAAAGTTATTTCACTCCGATTATTCAAATTCTAAATTAATGAACAAAAAATGAATGCAAATTTTTCAAAAAAAATTCCATGCTCTGGTGAGAACACTATTATTTTTTCATGTTTCGCAACATAAATACTGCACAGAGCTTTGCAACTACACGTACTGGTACATATGTACACTGTAAATGTATTTTATTTGGCGTATTTGGAGGTAATTGATTTTTTAACATGTTAGCAGATTTGAATTATAGCTCTTTGAATGTGCTTTAAATAAATATACATGTATGTAAGACATTTAGAGATGTACTTGATTTAGTGGAAGGTACGTTTTAAAACAGTATTCCATGCACCATCTGGTACATGTACCAGTACACGTATATGTAAGCCGTCATGGTTGGACATCTAATATTTGATTGAAATACTTTTGGTAAGGTTAAGGGGATTTTTATCCCAAATCATTTTTACTGTTCCACATAAAATTATAAAAATCATGTCTTGCAATATATAAGGATGCAAATAGTATACATTTGATGTATAAACAGAAGTGGCAATAAAAGGTACATGTAAATTATATATCACAGCATTCCAAAGCCTTTAGAGTAATCCACTGCCTTTTCTAATCTATCTTTCAGCTTTTCTTTTGTGCTATAATCTGGCAGAAGCAACACATTAAAACAAGTGTGAGCAGTTGGTAATCTGTAAAAAGAAAATGTATTTTACATAAAATATTAAATGAAGCACATTCTCAATGTATTACATATTGACACGCACAGCAAAGTGACATCTATGATGAAACAAAATCACCCTTTGCAAATTATAAAAGCTGACAATGTAAAGTATAAGAGATCAAAGTATAAGAGGAATCATTTAGCTTACCTTTCCGAGTCGGGACCGTTCCTGGCGATGATAAGTTTGATTTTCGTCAGACCTCCTACAGGAACCCTGTCTGTTCCTGTCGTAAATTGTAATAATCTTCTTTTCTGGTCTTCTGAGAATTCATGCACAATATCCCAAAAATGCCTACAAAGTTTAAAATACCTGTATACCAGTACATGTACACATCTACATGTCATAAACATGCTACACTGTATTATTCTGCTGATAAATACATGTGCATACATGTGCATAAACATGTACCTAAAAGATGCAGTAATCTTATTTATAGCTGTTTTAATTATTTTATCTATAATCCACAAAAATACTTTTGTGTTCCGCTTTTTTGTCCTTAACTGAATCATTTTCTCCTTGTTTGAAACACTTTAAGAGATATTTAGTGTTTATGCTACACTTAAGTACATAAAACAGTAAAAAATATTGGAAGTTGCTTCCCTTGATAAATACTAGTACATGTAAAACATTTTTTATTTCAATAGAATAAGACTTATTGTTAGTTTAATTCTGCAGAAATATTCTTTTAACACTTACCAGCATTCTCATAAACTAATGCATTTTAAAAAGACAATTCATGCCAATAGCCATGTCTATATACATGAAAGGCCTATAATTCAAGTACATGTATTTTTTAAAGATTCTGAATAATGAACATTACTTGATAGTTGGTGAATCAGCTGTAAATCCTCCATCATATTCTGTTGACTTTTGTAGATCATAGAAATCAAAATGCTGCCAAAAAGATAACAACAGTTACTAATTATTATTAAAAACTCTCTTTTTGAGTCTCCTGACCAAAATTGTTATGGATGCACAGCTACATATTGTATTTTTAATTCTAAGTTACCAAAATTTTAGATCTAATTTACTAGCTAACAAGTATTTGCATCTTAAACAAATTATTAAACATTTGATCCTAATGTTTTTTTCTCTAATAAGAAGCATTGAGAGTGAAACTTAGTTAAGTTTTCTCACCGTGCTTCCACAGATCAAAAGTTCCACTTCCTCTGGTCGGAAGAGAATGCGTAGCGGACTCTCATTGGTCACCAGGTTAAATCCACGCTTAAAAGCTCGGAATTGTTTCTCAATGGATTTGTTGAGCATGAAGTCAGAGTACATCTCCACGAATTCCTACAACAAATAAATACACATATGTACAAACTTTTATAATTCACAAAATCAAAGTAAAACCACTTTGGAAATTGGTGAAAAATTAATTTTCCTCATGTACCTTAAATAATCAATGAAGGGTTTGAAGACAGCCTAATATTAATATTTTGATAATTAATACAAACACAAATACACTAGTCTGGAAATGAAGCTTTAATTTCGAAAAGTAAGTCCAAAATTCCTTTACTTCCAACAAAACGTATAAGGATATTTCAAATTTACTCACATCTTACTGTTCTTGGTCTGGATTGAATATACACTAACCTCTTTGTTCTCATGATTGACATGGATTTCCCCTCCCCCTTCTTTGAGTTCATGAGTCAGATCACATCCAAATACATCTTTATATCCCACTTTAAATGGCTGCATGAACACATCTTCTATATCCTCTCCTTCATACTCCAGCATGTTTAGTAGACTAGTATACAATGTCTGTACAAAAGAAAGCCAAATTCCTAGAAGTGAACATAGTGACAGACACGTGTACCCAGTACATTAGTAGTACACTCATGGTAAAAGTCAATCTTATATTTATAAATTACTCAATCTAAAATCATTTTCTGCCAACTTTTACAAAATAGAAATGCTGTATGCAAGCATCTGAAGAAAAACAAAATATCATTTCAAAATTAAAATAAACACTATGAAAGTGCAGCCTACCGGATCTAAGTCTTTGAGGTCTACAAATCTGCCTTTCTTTCCCATTAGCTTGCGGTACACTACAGAAGGAAAATGGATATCTACAATGGTACTGTTATAAATGGCTAGTCCAAGCACTATTCCAATAAGAGTAAATTGGCCATCATTTTCAAATGATGTTGGGTTAAACCAAAACTGCCTGGTTTGTTCGTTGTATGTGAACATTCCTACAAAAGAAAAGAAATGAAGATAGTAAATATAAAATTATTATGTTGCTCTAAAGAGCAATGTAATTATACCAACCATCTCTTAATTTATGACAGACAGGCCCAAAATCAGACTACAATGTATTGGGCACTTCAGATTTTGTTTAAACTTACCAAAATCTGGATTGAATATTTCTTCTACAACAAGCTGGAAGAACTCTTTAGACACCCCCCCTTCATCCATTGCATGTTCACCTTCAAATTCCACAATCAGCTGTTTTTTCAAGTCTTGGGGGTTGTCCATAGCTGTCATTTCCAACTATCAATGAAATCAAACAATTATTTCACAATTCAAATTCAAGTTACACCTGTATACATTTGACTGTATTATTCCACATGTATACAGGTGTATTTATGGGATGGTTTAAATTTCACAAAGCATACAGTTGAAAACTATGTTTTCAATGTTGAAGTTTCTATCTTAATAGTAAATAATACCGTAATTTAGTGCATATGTTTGACTTATTATGTAGGTACAAAAAAGTATAACATACTTTAAAATATTTTTTCTTTAATTGATTGCAATATAATTTTATAAGCCATTTAACTGACTTACATTAACTAAGGCATCGTCTATGAGATGATCTCTCCTCACTCGAAGCCGTAAGAAAGGAGTTGGAGGAAGTCCTCGAAGGAAAGTGTTTAATATGGAAGATCTTCTCTCATTAAACATCCTAACTCTGTTGTCATAATACATACACATATGCTTAGAAGCAGTACTTAATATAAAATTGTGATTCATAAAAGAAAACTTGGATTCCAGTTTGTTCTTATAGTCTACTTCAATGTCCACATATTCGTTCAGAAGTTCATTCACAAACTCATCATACGGAACTGAGGGCTTGCGACAGTCTAAGACTGATACTTTTAATTCCTGAGCCAGCGGATCTTCCTTGGGTTTGATCAGGTCTTTGTGTTCGTGGCCCACCGCTCCCCCATGTAACATGTCCTGTAAACTTTCTTCTGTCTCGTTTGTTTCCTTCTCCTCGGCCAGAACAGCGTCTGGGTCTAACCCTCCTCCAATGATGCTAGCATAGAACAGAATCTTCATCACTTTTGTTGCGCCTGCGATGCCTTCATCATCGTTAAGTTGGTACATACGCCCCCAGCGACCATGGTTTTGTGCAATTCTGACAGTTATCACTTGATGAAGAGTTCTCGTCATTTGCAGCAGCCATTCAGCTCCAAAAGTGGACCAAATTTTGGCAAGTTTAGCTTTCCCTGAAACATCCATGTGACCCAGTGCCTTGCAGAACTCTGGAAATGCATTCTCCAATAAATCTACATGCTCATCCAGGGGAATTTCCATCACAATCAAAAATATATTCATGTAATTTGGATTTTGATCCAAAGGTCTTCTATATCTGAGCTCCATTTCCACATTCTTTGACAAACTAGACAGAGCATTCACTAGAGCACCTTGATACGGAAGGTCTGGAATCTTCATTAAGGCGTGAAATGTTCTCCGAACAGCCTCCAAGTCTAGAGATACAGCTGTTTCTCTGTCACAGGTACTGGACTGAACACTCTCTTGTTCTGACCCTTCTTTCTCCTTCACTGGGCTGGTGGGATTTGCCGTCACCTCTTTTCTACGGAAACTCATGATGAGCGAGTCTGCATTATTAAATGTGGCACCAATCACTCGGATTAACTTGGACCAGTTATTTTCCTCCTCACAATCTTTGATTAATTTTAGAACTTTCTTTTCTGTTAAATAGTTTATTGTTTCAGCAGCTGGAAAGCAAGTTGTAAATATGGAATTAAAATTATTGCCAAATCAAGTACAGAACAAATCTTTCACTTCTGCATTAAAATACTTTTTATAATTGTTTTTTTCCAAATTAAAATGAATGTTTTGACTCTCTTTACTAGAATAAAAAAATAAAAGTGTATCAAATTTCTACTTTGATTTAAAGAATTAAAGAACACTACAAGGTATTAAATAAATGACTATACAAATCTACAAATAGCAAAAAGTTATTAGGGGGAGAGGGGTGAGGATACATTTTCTCTCAATATGCTCAATGAAAATCATCAATCTTAATTCTAATGCAACTGTTTTGTAAATCTGCATTCTGATTGGCTTTTGCACTTTCATTTGAGGCAGTTGAATGAGCTTTTATGAGATGAAAGTTTTTTAGTTTAAAATCTAAATAGAATCCGGCAAACTTCAAAATCAAGCATGCAAAAAATTAAAATGTGAATGTCAAAATTAATGCATAATTTTTATCAGAATGGGAATAGCAATCTTCTTATTTGCTAATTGCGACCATTAATGCTGATTTAACAGTCACAAGCATTTGTTTTATCTGCTCCACCTGTGCATCATTAGTATTAAAAAATCAGTTTGTGACTTTTTAAATCAGCATTAATGATTGCAAATAAAAAATTAGAACTAGTTTTTTTGTTTTGTTTTTAAATATCACTATATATTTGAAGAACTTGAAAAGAATATTTTAAAAGGTTTCCCTATATATCCCTATGTAAAACTTTTTTTGGCCCCATTTTTTTATCATTACATAACCTAAAACTAATACCTGAGGATGATTCCACATGAGTTTTCTTTCCTGGCCCAGTGGTTCTTGAGAAGAAGATTTTTAAAGATTTATATATTTTGTAATGGGTCGGCCATTTTGGCTCAACCCTAGCCATGGGGGTCATGATACAAATTTAATCTGCACTACCTGATGATGATTCCAAATGAGTTTCATCTTTCCTGGCCCAGTGGTTCTGGAGAAGAAGATGTAAAAGTTTTCCTATACATGTATATTCCTATAAAACTTGGGTCGGCCATTTTGGCCCCACCCTTGCCCCAGGGGTCATGATTTTTACAAATTGCTAAAAAATTAGAATCTACACTTGTACCTGAGGATATTCACATCATGAGTACATCTTTCCTGAATGTTTGAAAGAGTGGGTGAAAGAACATGATACAAATGTTTAAAAATATCATATAAAGCTGAGCACAAGGAACTTCAGAAATAAAAATACTCAGAACTTCCTCATTTTCAGACATACATAGCATATGTGCTATAGGGAATCAAATAAATGCCTAAATAAAAAAATGTGAAGCGAAGAGAATTTTGAATTGTTGATGCAACTCAGTAGAGTCAAATTTCGCTTTGTAATTCATACTGAATATATAAATTTGTTTAAATAATATATGTTTTTTTTTTTTTTTTTACAGTCAGTTATCTGCTATGGCTTAAAAATAAAGATTGAGAAAGCCATCACCTACTAGAAATTTGATTGGTTTTATGACATTGTACATTGACTTTATAACTTAGCAGATTTTATGACATTGCATGTTGACTTTATAACCTACCAGAAGTTGGAATAGGTTTTATGACATTACATGTTGACTGTTGTGAAAACAGAGCAGTTGTTTGCCCTTTGGAGGAGGAGGGTTTTTCCTCTGTGACGACCTTTGCTGTTGGTGCCTTATCTTCGCTGCCGACTTTTGAAGGTCCTGCTACATTTTCAGCACGTGGCACTTTGCTGGGCTGTGTTCCACACAAGTCAGCTTTACCCTTGAACAAGTCAATAGCCTTGATGGCCAGTTCATTCTTTGTTTTATCTTTAAATGCAAAGGAGGAGCAAGAGGCACAGTCTTCATTCTGACAATTCTCATTTCCACAGCCGTCTGTAAGCTGATAGTAATACTTCTCTATCATCTGCCTTGCTGCCGCACGTTTCCTATGGAAGAGTTTTATAAAGAATACATGTAAATGACATTCTCTTAAATACAATAAGGTTAAGAACAAAGCAAGCATAAACTAGATGACAACATTGATGAACCAATATTTTTTTACAGTATCAAATGCGGAGGCAATAAATTTCACTTCACTTTTAAAATTTATACATCTCTTCTCTGTCACTTACATTCCGTCTTCTTTTTCTGGAATTTGTTCTGACAAAGAATTGGGACCCCTGAAAGGAAAAGCTTTCAAGTTACAGATATATACCCAGTAAATAATCATTCTTTTAAACAAATTACAGCATGTGTCAATCATTTAAAAAAATGAAATACAGTAATACATTAAACTATGACAGTTTTTACTTATTTGATAAAATTATCTTTGTTGTTCTCAATAACTTTTTTTTCACTAAGTTTTCTGTGTTCTCTGCTTTTTTTCAGAAAACATGGAAAATATTCAAATGTATACATCATTTTATGCAAACTGTTTACAGACGTAGACTTCTACTATTTATAGTGAGCGCAGCGAGTGGTGCAAAGCACCGCTCATCAAGCAACGCCAGGGCGAATAGGAACTTTGCACATGATCAAAATTATTTTTTATCTGCATCTGGCTGCAAACTTTGTTCCCATGGTTACGAGAAATTTCAAGAAAAAAAGTTACCTTGCAATGATTTGAAAGATGAATCATTTATGTTGACGGTGCAACCGTCTATGGGCGATCGCAGATATTCATTCAATTTTAATTTAGATAGATTGGGCTCGTCAAACCACACATGACATGAACTAATTTCATTTTTCAATGGTTTTGTACTGTACCCTAATCGTAAAACCTAAACACAGAACCAATTTCTTGTCATGTATGGGGAGAGGGGAGGGGGGATCCTACCATTTGACAATGTACACAATGAACATTAACTTGACAGTTGTGTAGATATAAAACAGAAAGCAATCATACATTTGTTTTAGCGGTGTCATTTATTTACTTTCATTTAAAATGCCATTTGGTAGCACAAGGAAATGAATGTGAAAGCCAAAACATTAAATACCTTGCGGCAGAGATTCCACTTTGTTCAGAATTTTTCTCGTCTGGGTTCATACGAAGTTTTTAGAATCTGATGTGAATTAGGCCGTCCATACTTCCATTTCATTTATGCAGGAATAAGAATAGATGATTATGTCACCACATCAGTTGTTTTTCTGTCGCCATCTATGAAATCTCGCACAAATGTTTTAAGCGAGATTTAAAAAAAAAACAATAAAATTTTTAATTCTAAGTAAGATAGTTTCTTCATTTGAAAAAAAAATGTAAAATTTAATCTATGCAATCTTATTTGAATTTTTTAAAGAAGACAATAAACTAATTCCACGGTTGACTGATTTCATGGCTGCGCCCATGATGAAAGCCGACGATTGACGAAAGAGTCTGACGTGTGCAGTATTATGAGTATGAGAACCTCTGAATCTTAGCAGTAGTTAACTAATTGAATTATTCTTCTCTTTTAGATAGTCTAAATCTTGCCACGGTCAAACATTCTTAAGATAATTAAGTACTTAACCATGTTTAACTGTATGACAGAATTTGGCAGACTAAGAAATAACAGAGACATATTTAACCTATTGGCTCAAACAGAAAGGTGTAGGTTTAAGTCTTATTGTGAACACCTCTTAACTACATGTATTTAGTATTTGCATGGTGCTCAACACACAAAAACAGTAGTAAATAGTTAGACCTGTGTACTAGTTTTCCAAGCTGTTATGTTAGGCCGATGATATATACACGACCGTCGTGCACACTATATGGAAAGTCTATTTACACGACTGTCGTGCAAATAGCTATTGCAAAGTAATGAGATATATACACGACCGTCGTGCATAGATATTAAGTAAAATCTATTTACACGACCGTCTTGCATATAGCAATTGCACATTACCCGAGATATGTACACGACCGCATTTATCGTCGTGTACCCTAAATTCGTCCCCAAACTTCTCGAGACCAGCACGTTTCGAACTTCGTATCGAAGACGTCATTATATCACAATGATGCAACTTTTTCAGCAATTATTTTTCAGAATTTGCAGTTTAGTATTAAACTTAAATAAAATAAAAATACTTAAAATATCTTATTATATTATTCCTTATGTCCATTTTTATTAAAGTGTACAGTTTTTACTTAAAATTGCTTCCAGATCTAATATACCTTCATTTTATTATTTTATACCCGTTGTATTGAATTACGTGCATGGGCTACAAATTAAAACAATTTTTACTGTGTTCTTATTTTACCTTTTCTTGTGTGTGTGTTTTGTTTTAATAAGTTTCATTTAATTGAGATTTTTTCAAGAATATGTTATGGAGACGGAAAATAAATAAAATCAGATATATTATATCAAAAATATTTCCCATACAGAAGAATTTATTATACCATCCCTTTCAATAAAAAATCAATCTGTCAACATAACCAAGCATTGATAATCACATTGTGTGAATAGATCTACTTTTGACCTTGCCAAGTCACCAGTCCTCCCCCCCCCCCCACCACCACCACCACCTTTGCTTGCAAAAAGTCGGTAAGTAGCCAAGTAATCATCAAGAAGAAAATGTTTTATTTCTACAAACCAAGAATTTAAATTATTTTATTGAACAGTCCGAACAGTCATTTTATAGAGCCGACCAAAGAAGGTGAATTTTTGTCACAATTTTTACCAGTTTGACAGGTGCTGTGTGCTGAAGTGATGCAATTTAATGGGTGCATTGACATTAACTAATTTCAGCGGGCGTTCAATGGAAATTTATAATCAAGCGAAATTCACCCTATAATCGTAAAACCTAAAAACAAGATCTTTCCTGCAAATTCTTTTATTTCTCATTTTCTGCAGATCTATATAGTATATGAAAACTCTTTTTTCCCTGTAATCATGGTAATGTGGATATTTCACACATTATTATAATAATTATGTGATCAATTCAAGTCTACGCATTTTATAATAGTTTTCCTATGTTTTTTTTTTATCAGATTGTGCCCGACTTGCACTGCTCAAATATTTTGATATTCTATCGGTTTTTGCCAGTAAGGTCAATGAATTTTGGAAAATCTAAAATAAAACATTGTATAATTCACATATCAGGTAATTTGGTGAGCATACAATAACATGACATCGTTGAAAGCACGTTCGTGTTTTTTTTTTTTTTTTTTTTAATTTTGTTAAAGAAAACGGAGTCGGTATAATCGAAAGCAATTTATGTTCTTTATATAATGAAGAGAGGAAACTTTCCACTTCCTTTACGGTTCTTACAAAAAAAAAATCACCTTCTTTCCATTAATCAAAATTAAGTATACGTATAAAATAGTTATCCACCTGCAGGTATAATTACGTTTATTTAGCGTCTGATTCATGCAGTTTTGTAATTAAGGTGCTATACTATAATTTTGAGATTCTGCTTGTGAAGTCAAAGAGAATTATTAATAAAATTTTGTTTGTTTTTTTTAAAGAAACATAAGTTCATAAAAAAAACAGGTTTGACAATTGTTTTTTGAAAATTAAATTTTACTTGCCTTTTGAAAATATACTGAGGTCATTTTTTTATACAATAGTAAAAAGAGAGATTCTCGATTTTATTTCCTAATATAGAGAGAAATTTTCATTTTATTTAGGTTGTGCATCATTTGTTCTCAATATTTCCCCAATTATACAAGATATCGGCACCACTGGCACTGAGATGTTTGAATTAAATCAGTGCATTAGGTCATTTGTTCATGTTGTTTATTCCACAGAATCCATATCCTTAATTGATTGAAACAAATGGTTTAATACAACAAAGTTCAAAAATCAAGAAGTAAATGATTTCTGTCAACAAGTGACAATTACTACATACATCACATCGGATACATGTAACCAAGTAATTTGTCGTACATGCGAACCGTCTTAATTGGGACGAAACGCCTCAGTGCGAATGGTCCTGTGGGGGCGAACCGTTTCGCACTCAAACAAGGAAAGATAAATACAATGCATGTTTAATATTTTACACGACGGTCGTGTAAATAGTCATTGAAATTATATACACGACGGTTGTGCGAATAGTCATTGAAATTATATACACGACGGTCGTGCGAATAGTCTTTGAAATTATATACACGACGGTCGTGTATATAGACACTGCCGTTATGTTATGCCGCCAAATGTTGCTAGATGAGTGAATCAGATGTTAAGCTCGCTGGATCGACTGAAAAAAATGGGATGGACAACTAGAAGGTCTGAATAAGCCATCCCCAACTATTTCACTTAGTTCCTACGGACGAAATGAAATAGGAGCTGGCTTTAAATAGTCAGACTGGATGACCAAAGAGCTACAGTGCCACCCATAGATAATACTGTATATTCATTGCACACAATACACATGATGAGTTGCTCTTGATTTTTGATTAATTTCTCCAATTTTAATTATTTCAAACAAATTCTTTAATAGACATCTATCAAATACTTTCGTTTTTTTTGCATTTCATGAAACACATTAGACCATCATGAAAATGTTCTGTGCTTATGTAAAGGATTGATACTGCACTGCTATACTACTTGATATAAACTCACTAAAGTTAAGTTGACATACTTTTTAGATATAAAGAATGGCTCATCTTCCATCGCATCTGAAACCAAAGGGTCGCGGAAGAGGAAGAGGGAGCAACTTCAGTGCTACAAATAACACCAATGTTAGTTCTCTGGCACCAGGTAAATTTTCAATAGTGACTTTTTATTCCTAAGCAGCAACTTAATAATTCAATTGTTAGCTTTTCTCTCTTCCATATTTCTTTTTCACAAGTTTTTCAAGGCCAAAGATTATCATAGATTTTTCTCTCTGAGGAAGAAATCTTATGTTTAAACATGTTAAAAGTCTGCTCTGCTATTTATTCTGTTGTCTGAAAGAGTATATTTTTTCATCATTTGAAAAAATAATCCTTTCATAAAGAGGGAAAACAAATATTGTTTTATAAGGCAAAGTTAATCTTGAACAAAATACACTGTACACTACACCATGCAAAATGGAAATCACTTTGCTGTGCAGATGAATTCATTGAATGTGTGTTCACTATATTGACTATAACATTCTACCAAGTTTTAGTGTATCAAAGTTATAATCTACCAAGTTTTAGTGTATCAAGGTTAAAATACTGGTACATGTATATAGACAAAAAGAATTTGGGACTTCAACTAACTTTGACGTATATATTGCATTCAAGATATTGGTATTGAAGATATGAAGTTCAACTGTAGATGTATATTTTGAAATATGAAATTCTTGTTTTCTATCCCCATAGGAAAAAATTTCTTTTGTGCACAATATTTAAAGAAATCAGTGATTTTCTCTTTATTGATTCATAATCAAGTGTACATTTTCTTTTGAAGGCAAAAATGCAGAAAAGTACAAGAATGCAGAGGAGAAGTTTTTACAGGCCAGTACGGCTCACCAGCAGGCTATCCAGCAACACATACAGCAGGAGGAGAAGGAAGAAGAGGAAGAAGACATCGCTGATGACATCATCAATACTGTGTTTAAATCTTACTCCTCTCTGTACAGTAAGTCAAAACTAGTACAACTTTTATGTACCTCATCTCTTTGTACATAACATATTATTTTAAGGACTTTCTCCAAGTTTTTAGCTCACCTGAGCTGAAAGCTCAAGTGAGCTTTTCTGATCACCCGGCGTTGTGTCCGTCCGTCCGTCTGTAAACTTTTCACATTTTCAACTTCTTCTCAAGAACCACTGAATTTTAACCTCTTGGTACAAAGCATCCTTAGGTGAAGGGGAATTTAAATTGTTAAAATCAAGGGCCAAGACCCCTTCCAAGGGGAGATAATCAAGAAAATACGAAAATAGGGTGGGGTCATTAAAAAATCTTCTTCTCAAGAACCACTGGGCCAGAAAAGCTGAAACTTATGTGAGAGCATCCTGGGGTAGTGTAGATATTAAATTGTTAAAATCATGACCCCCGGGGGTAGGGCGGGGCCACAATAGGGAATCCAAGTTTTACATAGAAATATATAGAACAAATCTTTAAAAATCTTCTTCTCAAGAACCACTGGGCCAGGAAAGCTGAAACTTATGTGGAAGCATCCTTGGGTAGTGTAGAGCTTAAATTGTAAAAATCATGACCCCCGGGGGTAGGGCGGGGCCACAATAGGGAATCCAAGTTTTACATAGAAATATACAGAACAAATCTTTAAAAATCTTCTTCTCAAGAACCACTGGGCCAGGAAAGCTGAAACTTATGTGGAAGCATCCTTGGGTAGTGTAGATATTAAATTGTAAAAATCATGACCCCCGGGGGTAGGGCGGGGCCACAATAGGGAATCCAAGTTTTACATAGAAATATATAGAACAAATCTTTGAAAATCTTCTTCTCAAGAACCACTTGGCCAGGAAAGCTGACACTTATGTGGAAGCATCCTTGGGTAGTGTAGATATTAAATTGTAAAAATCATGACCCCCGGGGGTAGGGCGAGGCCACAATAGTGAATCCAATGTTTACATAGATATATATAGAACAAATCTTTAAAAATCTTCTTCTCAAGAACCACTGAGCCAGGAAAGCTGAAACTTATGTGGAAGTATCCTTGGGTAGTGTAGATATTAAATTGTTAAAATCATGACCCCCGGGGGTAGGGCAGGGCCACAATAGGGAATCCAAGTTTTACATAGAAATATATAGAACAAATCTTTAAAAAACTTCTTCTCAAGAACCACTGGGCCAGGAAAGCTGAAACTTATGTGGGAGCATCCTTGTGTAGTGTAGATATTAAATTCTTAAAATCATGACCCCTGGGGGTAGGGCGGGGCCACAATAGGGAATCTAAATTTTACATAGAAATATATAGAACAAATCTTTAAAAATCTTCTTCTCAAGAACCACTTGGCCAGGAAAGCTGAAACTTATGTTGAAGCATCCTTGGGTAGTGTAGATATTAAATTGTTAAAATCATGACCCTCGGGCATAGGGCGGGGCCACAATGGGGAATCCAAGTTTTACATAGAAATATATATAGAACAAATCTTTTAAAAAGATCTGCATCACCCAAGTTACTCAGGTGAGCGATGTGGCCCATGGGCCTCTTGTTTACACTGCTTTGCATCCAACTGTTATTCAAAAACCTACCTTCCTTTTCATGTATATGTAATTAATTTATTTTTCTCACAGAAAGATACATGTACATGTATATTCCTCTGTAAAATCAAGGTATTCATGTATCCATATCTTGACAGGTTCTAGTCAAATTTAGAAAAACAATGACAAAATTCAAAGTTTTCTACCAAATTAATCAATTTAACTTGATATCAAAAAGGTACGATGCACACAGCCCATGACAGGTGCTAAACATAGGAAAAAACTTGGAATGGCCTAATCCAAGTAAATTCTACAGTGTTCTTTTTATTTCAGTATTATTTAATATGTTCATTTGATTTGATTTTCTGCAAAGAAAACATAAATATACTGAATGTTGAAGTGCAGGCATAACTGTTTATATTTCTGAAGCTGGTAATTTTTATCTTCTTCTATATAGGCAATGAAGGGGACACTACTAGAGACCAGGGAACAGCTCAAGAGGACTTGGTACACTCGTACCGATCTAGTTCCTCCGCCTGTCTGATCTGTATAGAGACAATTAAAAAGAATGAGGCTGTAAGTCCTGCATTATCGCCTCTGAAATCTTGTGCATTCAATACTTATTGTTAAATTCTGTAAAGATGGAAATATTATGCTCAGAAAAATTATACAACTGCATATTCGTGATAAGGAACTTTCTTGATCAATTGTCCTTTGCTCAGAAAATTCTCTGAAATGACATAAAAATGTATAAATTCAAATACTCGTATCTAAAATTAACACTGTTTATAATAAAATGATGGAATGCTTTTTCTGCAGATCTGGAACTGCAGTGGCTGCTACGCTATGTTCCATATGCAGTGTATCCAGAAGTGGGTACGTGAAGGGATATATCAGCATGCCTACAAAACACCAGATGGACAAACTCCCAGCAAGGACATTCCTTGGCACTGGTAAAGTCTCCAACTGTTGTTTCTTCTTATTTAAAATGTCATTACTTTAAAAATGCCTTCCATGTGTGTCAAAATGCACAATGGATTTACTCCTGTTTGCAAATCTCTTACAGTCCTAAATGTAGAACAGAGTACCAGCAAAAAGATTGCCCCTATAAATACTTGTGCTTCTGTGGGAAGGAAGTGAACCCCAAGTTTGACCCCTGGCTAGTACCTCATTCCTGTGGACAGACGTGTGGCAGGAACTTGAAGCCAGAGTGTGGACACACCTGTCTTTTGCTGTGTCATCCAGGTATGTCACTCATGGGAATTGAGTAAATCTCACATTTAATTTTTCTTTCTCAAAAATACTCTCAGCATCTGTGCTACTTTTCAGTTAAAAATGTAGTTGATTATTGTATGTGTACTTAATAAAGTGTGCTTCATGTTTTAGCTGTTTTGGCTTGGACAATGATGCACTAATTCATGAATACTGTTAAGAATTTCGTTGATAAATACAATACATGGCGTGAAAGTATGTAAAGTTAATTCATGATCATGCCAACAACTTCATACCCAGTGTTTCCAGTAAATTTTAAACACGCCGATTTATATACATGTACAGTATCTTGTAATAAGTTCAATGGGTTATTTTTTATGTTTTGACTGTTGTAGGAGCCTGTCCTCCCTGCCCTAAAACAGTCACTGTGACCTGTCATTGTGGTAAACAGAAACCTAAGGTGGTCAGGTGTAGTGCTAAACAGTGGTCCTGTGGAAAACCATGTGGGAAAAAGCTGTCATGTGGACAACACAACTGCCAACAACCTTGTCATGCAGGTATTCCAAACAAAATATTTACTGCAAAGTTTTTTTTTTAAAAAAAGTATATTTTAAAGCATGAAATTGTTCCTGATAGAAATTTTTGAGATTTTATTCTTAAAAGATATCATTTCAATATTTGCAATTTGCTAGACCCTGAGTAATCATGCTAATAGTTCTAGTATTTAAAGATTGAAAATAACATCCCCTCAAAGTTAAGACCAACTGAAAAGTTGCTAAGCTCAACATTTTCAGGCTAAATATAATGTAATGTGTCATATGCTATAATTTTATGACAAGATACAGTACATATACCCATTTTAACACGTGAATATTTATCATTGAACAGGTGAATGTGCTTCTTGTCCTAAAACAAGCAAGCAATCCTGCTATTGTGGAAAGAAAGTCACTGTACGGCCCTGTGCCAGCCCAGATTGGAAATGTGATCAGGTAAACTTACATGTACTTGTAAAATTATTGAGTCCTGTAAGAAAAGGTAAAGATACGTTATCATTTATTTTTGATTGCAAAAGATTATTTGGTTTGGTGATATGAAGAATGTAGAATTTTTGTATCTTTTTTCTTAAACATCATTTTTAAACTGATTAATTACAGTAAGTTTGTCCTAAATTGAATGTTACAATGATCTGATAATTAAGAGTAAATTTCGTTATTCTCCATTACAGCCTTGTGGTAAAACACTTTCCTGTGGAAACCACCTTTGTGAGAAGATATGTCACAAGGAGAGTTGTGGGCCTTGTCCAAGATCTGGCCAGCGATTCTGTCCTTGTGGGAAAACAGGTACTGGAGGTGTTCCCTAGAGAACTTAGAGAGCATTAGATTGAAATTAATTACACACCTTAAAATTCTGGGATAATTTAATTTTTTAAACTTTTATTTCAGAATACAACCTGCCCTGTACAGAGGATGTTCCAACCTGTGGAGATACTTGTGGTAAACTGTTGGATTGTGGGATACATAAATGTTCACAGCGCTGTCACACAGGAAATTGTGGATCTGTGAGTCTTTCATTGGCTTAGCTTTAAACTGTATTGTTATATAAGTATTTTATACTTTTATTCAAAACAAACTTTTTTTTACATTATGTTTTAGAGATGAACTTTAGTTTTCTTATTGCATTTTTGAACAATAATATGATTTTTTCTATTCATTTAGTCTCTTCAATCTATTTATATTTTGTGTAACATACCTCTATATATGTACAAATTCAAATTTTACTGCTGTTTTTGTTGTTGTTGTAGTGCCTACAATTAGTAACAAAGAAATGTCGATGTGGACAGAAGCAAAAAGAGGTCCTATGTTCAAAGCAATATTTGTGTGAAACCAAATGTACAGCAATGAGGGATTGCAACAAACACCAGTGTAAGAGAAAGGTCTGTGTGGGGATGAATGGGGAATAAGATTTCTTATATGTTGTTTATGTAACATTTGAAAGACAACTGAGAAAAATGTATGAAAAAAAAACTTATAATTCATATATCATTCTCAGGAACATAATTTGTAAATTTAAGAGAAAATGAGATGGGGGGTTTGAGCACATCAGAAAAATCTTATTATTAGTAACTGTTCATGTTTTATTTTACAAAGGAAGAGAAAGTACTGCAGCTAGTTGTGAACAAGTTTATAAACAGCATTAAATAGAATAATGATCGTTGATAAAGTCTCTTTATGTTCTTAGTGTAGTCTGCTTGTGTGCCAAGTTATACTGAAATCAGACCAAAACTGTAGGAGAAGTAGCATTTTGAAACAATTTTACAGACATTTCTATTTTTAGTAACCACGGCAACACCGTTCATCAAAATTAAAATTCAATTTTCAGAATTATGTATCTTAGAGTATTCTACTTGTGTGCCAAGTTATATTGAAATCAGACCAAAACTGTAGGAGGAGTAGCATTTTGAAACAATTTTACAGATATTTCTATTTTTAGTAACCACGGCAACACCGTTCATTGAAATCAAAAACCGATACACAGAATTATGTATCTTAGTGTATTCTACTTGTTTGCCAAGTTATACTGAAATCAGACCAAAACTGTAGGAAGTAGCATTTTGAAAGAATTTCATAAAAATTTCTATTTTTAGTAACCACGGCATCACCCTTCATCGAAATCAAAAACCGATACACAGAATTATGTATCTTAGTGTAGTCTACTTGTGTGCCCAGTTATACTGAAATCAGACCAAAACTTTAGGAGGAGTAGCATTTTGAAAGAATTTCACAGAAATTTCTATTTTTAGTAACCACGGCAACACAGTTCATCGAAATCAAAAACCGATACACAAAATTATGTAACTTAGTGTATTCTACTTGTGTGCCAAGTAATACTGAAATCAGACAAAAACTGTAGGAGGAGTAGCATTTTGAAAGAATTTCACAGAAATTTCTATTTTAGTAACCAAGACAACACCGTTCATCGAAATCAAAACCCGATACACAGAATTATGTATCTTAGTGTATTCTACTTGTGTGCCAAGTTATACTGAAATCGGACCAAAACTGTAGGAGGAGTAGCTTTTTGAAAGAATTTCACAGAAATTTCTATTTTTAGTAACCACGGCAACACCGTTCATTGAAATCAAAAACCGATCAACAAAATTATGTATCTTAGTGTATTCTACTTGTGTGCCAAGTTATACTGAAATTAGACCAAAACTGTAGGAGGAGTAGCTTTTTGAAAGAATTTCACAGAAATTTCTATTTTTTAACCACGGAAATATATAGGAAAAATCTTTACACAGAATTATGTATCTTAGTGTAGTCACTTGTGTGCCAAGTTATATTGAAATTAGACCAAAACTGTAGGAGGAGTAGCATTTTAAAAATTTTTACAGACATGACCCCGGGGGTTGGACAGGGCCACAATGGTGAATTAAAGTTTTATATAGAAATATATAGGAAAAATCTTCTCTAGAACCACTGGGTCAGAAAAGCTGGGGGTCTTATGTGGAAAAATCTTATTATTAGTAACTGTTCATGTTTTATTTTACAGTGTTGTGATGGTAACTGCCCTAGTTGTGAACAAGTTTGTGGAAAATTATTAAGCTGTAAAAACCACAAGTGTGCTAGTGGATGCCATAGAGGTAACGTAATATCAGTATTTTTTAAAATAAATTTTGTATTATGAATGTTAGGGATTTTTTCCTTATCTGACAGAATCTTGTATATTTTTTCCTCTTTAATTTCAGGACCCTGTTATCCATGCCCATTAACTGTACAGATAACTTGCTTTTGTAAAGCAACTCGTATCACAGTGCCATGTGGGAAAGAGAAAGTCACTCGCCCACCTCGATGTAACTACCCATGCAGGTATTCAAAATTCATATTGAATCAAATGGATATTTGAACCTTGATGAAGATTGTTGGGATATGTTGTAAAGGTCATACTTGTACTTATTAATGTTGTTAATGGCCAGAGGATATTCCTTGAACCAAAGAACATATTTATTGTGAACAAAATCAACTATAGATTTACCCTTTTTTCAAGGTCATAACTGTGTGTTTTTAGTGACATAGTTTTGTAGTGACAGGGTACTGGACGATACCAAGGATAATTTAATTGATAAGGACTTAAATGAAACCCCCCCCTTCCAAAAGCAAAGATAGATAATGCGTTAAGGTTCTATTATTTTGGATGTATACATTTACATATACACTTAATTATGTATATCCATTAAAAAATCGATATACCGGCAATATGCTTTGACTTAGATTTTATCATTAAATTTAAGTGTAAGAAAGGATTAAGCCAAACAGCAAGATAGGAACTGTTTTATGGGTGTATTTCAAAGGAATATATATTTTTTTCTTTTAGTTATAAATTTTATTTTATGTTTTTAGAAAACCCCCAATCTGCCATCACTCTAGTCAGATCCCCCATCGATGTCACTTTGGAGACTGTCCCCCATGTCGCCTGGTCTGTGGTAAACAGCTGGAAGGATGTCCTCACTCCTGTCCGGCCCAGTGTCACTCAGCTGTTAAAATGATCATCAGAGACAATGTGAGTATTTATAAACCTCTTGCTTAAAACTGTAATTTACATATACATATACCAGGTATATTCAACTCTGCTAAGTTGCAGGTACTGTGGAATCGTGATTGTCAGAGAAGGAAAGTCTTACTTATTACGAGACCTACATTTTAAAGATAACCTTTATACTCTTGTATTTCAAAAAATTTGTATCAAGATGATTTCTTTATGTTAATGATTCTAATCAACATAATTGATCTCATTTCCCTCAGACTGTGAGAGCAGGCCCATGGGAGGGTAGACCCACCGTAAAGGAGGAAATTGTGTGTAAGCCCTGCCCACCCTGTCAGTTTCCTATCCCTGTACAGTGTCTGGGACTCCATGAGGTAAACTTTCACAAAACATTTTTATAAAATTGTCAAAATTTTGAAGTTTCTGATTTTAAATTCATTTGCATAAGCAGGTTAGGTAATTTTTTCTGCAACAGCTAGAAGGTCATGACAAACAAAGAAGGACATTTTATCTTAAATATTTATATTTGTATAAAAAATCATATAAAGGGATTAACTATTAAAATTTAATATTTTATGATTGAAATGTTCATCATTTAAACATTTCACTGATGAAACAGCCTCTGCTCATGAAATCAATACATGAGCTTTGCCAAGTGGTGTTTTAATATTTAGTGGATGTAATTACATATATACACTTTTTTTAACCAATATTTCTCACTTTTATTGTCTTTATCAACAGATATCTAATTTCCCATGTTCAGAAGTTCGTAAATACTCGTGTGGCAGGAAGTGTGGCCGTCAGCTGGAATGTGGGAATCATACATGTTCTAAAGAGTGCCATCTGGTGACTAATGCCCCAGACAGTATAAAAGTATGCTGAATAATACACTTCATATTAAGCAATTATCCATTTTAAATTACTCTGTAAAATTTTGTGTCCAAATCCTCTAGATCTTTTCACATCACAGTTTGAATATTCTCTCTATTGGGACATTGATTTTGATACCTTTAACAGCATAATTATTCAAACCTTTTTTTGCCAAAAAATATTTGATAATAAACAAAGTTGGCCATGTATCTGGGTAATTTTGTGGTACGATAGTCATGTTTCACTTTAAGGAAAAAAATGCTTAGATCCTAATGCCATGTCCATGTACATGTACCATACATGATACACCCCCTTTATTTTTTACAAAAAGACATTCTAGGTAAAAAGTATGTATTATATTTACTATGATTTAGCAGAATGTGGTACCTATTCTCTGATTTCAGTGTGGAGATAACTGTGAGGAATGTGAGTTGGGCTGTCAGAAGCCCCGCCCCGAGGGCTGTACCCACACCTGCCCCACTATGAAGTGTCACCCTGGCCCCTGCCCCCCATGTAAGCAGATGCTACGTATGAGGTGCCACTGTCAGATCAGCGTGCAGCACGTCAGCTGTGACGAGTGGATCAGGGAGGTAGAGGAAAGAGAAAGTCTGCAGTCGTGTGGAGGGGAGTGTCCCAAACTGGTAATGTTCTGTGACTGGGCCTATTTTCTTCTTATGATTCTTTACTGAATATGAAACAGAAATGATGCCTACTTCAATACACTTGAGGAGTTAGAAAATAAGAATGTTAAATTTAGCAATCTTTTCATATATCTTTGCTTTGCAATCAAATTTTAATAAAACGTATTATTTTGATTTTTTTAGATAAATATTTTCTAATAAGTGTTAAGAGTTCATTCAAGCTTTCATAGGTCTTTGAGAATTTTTGTACATTAAACTCTCAGAGAGCAAATCTTAGTCCTCTGATCTGAGAAATTTAGAAGAAAAGCATTATTTTGGATATACATGTATATTTTAGTAACTGTAATTTCTGGTGACTCTGTAGATGCCTTGTGGACATCCTTGTGGAGCTGTGTGTCATGCCGGGGAATGTCCCAACATTGGAAAATGTGAGAAGAAGGTCACAGTCCGCTGTAAATGTCGCCGCAAGAAAAAGGACTTCCTGTGTAAAGAGGTCAAGGCTGGGAAAAAATTGGACTGTGACGACATTTGTCAACAAGAAAAGGAGCGCAAGAAGAAGGTACTGTATATAAGGACTGTAATGCTATTCATATGATTTATCCTAAAATATTCTTTTTGGCCAAAGAATAAAGAAATATTTTTTTTGCATTCAAATATTTATTGAGCACATACATGTATTTCTTTTTTGAATTTTTATAATTGTGCAAAAAATGATACCTCAAACATGTATTGAAAAAAAGACCTGCACTCACACGGTGTATATTACAACAGCATGTACATGTAGGTAAGCATAGTAAATAAATATTTTCCCTAATAGGTGGAGGAAGACAAAGAAAAACAGAAAAAAGAAGAGGAATTGAAAAGACAGCAAGCAGAATTGGAGGAGTATGAGAGAAAGATGAAGGGAAGAAAAAGACGTCACCACAAGGAAACAGAAGAAGAGGAGAAGCCGTCATTTCTACAGAGTCACAGGAAGATTATCTTTATCTCAGTCACTGTAGCTGTACTGGCTGTGTTTGCCTTCTACCTCATCAGTCAGTAATATACACAGAGGACCAGTACAATTAAGCTAAATTTTGTTTTCTTACTTTTAATGCTTCATCTGTGAATAAACTGTAGATTTTAAGAATTATATGACAAGCTACAGGGAAAATCTTTCACAAGCAAAACCCCCAAAAAAGTAAAATGTACAAAGTCAGAATTCTTATTTGGAGATGGAGGAGTGTGATGGGATTGAGGGAGGTTCCTACTTGACCAAGTGTGAGGGAAGGGGGACAACAAGCCTCTCAATATACATTTCAACAGTAAAAGGTTAAGTTTGAAAATTAAGGGGGGGGGGGGGGGGGGGGGGGGGGTGTGCGCACCATCATCACAAAACTTTATGCTTGTTGCACTGTAGACATTTTCCCCAGTTTGATACATTATAGATAAACAATTCTCAAAGTATTATGAACAATACTGTCCTGTATGTAATTGATAATAAGTAGAAGATTAAGTAAAATTATAGAGGACACCCCCTCCCCTCCCACACACACACACACACACACACCCTCACTCACAAAATGAGAAAAAAAGATTTTCAAAATTACTGATAATTTCAATTTGCTTAAGATTAGATTCATACACATGAGAGATTATTATCAACTTTGATGATAGAGTTATTCTATACTGTAAACAATTTAATACAGTGTAGTTATAGAAAGTATTTTTATAGCTATAAAAAAATTTAAATAATTAAATTCCACATACCTGTATTTTTTTCTTAGATATTATAATGTTGTATTCATAGAAACAAAGATACTTATGATGGAATTCTGAATTGTGTCCTACCTAAAAAATGATTGTAATCTGAGTATGTTTCATCATATTTCTGATGTAAAATTATTAAATTAAGAACTTTTTTTTTTCTGTGATACACCTTTTGTCATCTTTCATTGGCATGCTTCTCTTAGACAATGGTGCTTTTTCTGTGTGCATGAATTGCATTGTTTTAATTTTGATGCAATTTTGAAATGTTATAGCTTATATTTGATGAGAGAATTTATCAATATTTAATGATTTTGTCATGGTATGATAAGCCCGGTGATCTTGTCCTGTTTAGAGAGCATTCATTATGGCTTATCCTATCTATTCATTAGGCTAATTGTGTTTGTTCTTGATAGTCCATTCTCAGTATGCAGTTGTGCTGTTAACTTTCACTTCAATAACATTAGAACTGTTTAAGTATTCCATGTTTTGTATCAAATATTTGAAATGGTCACATTAACTTTATAGGACATTAATTTTGGGGTCAAGCTAAGGTGAAGGTTACACCTGAGCGTTCACTAACATTTCTGTTGGAGGTACTTATAAGGAATTTTGGTGAGCGCTCTGTTAAACAGGCCTCTGGTCAGTACTGTGATGGTAATGAATGCTTGTATGTAATGCAGTACTTTAATTTCTGCATTCTATGCAACACTGGTAGGAAAAAGAGAGATACTTCAGGTGTTAAGGAAACTCGGTAAAGAAGAAGATGATGGCTCTACTATGCAAGAAAAATATTGTGAATTGTTATTCAGCTAATGACTTTATGTGTATCCCAATGGTGTGCAATGAAGTTTGGAGTTTAAAGATAAGTTTTATTGATGTGTACATGTATGTGTTTACATTCATGTGATGCAGGAATGAGATTTTTTTTATATTAAACTAATGACCTAATTATAGGATGTAAAGAATTTATGATTTAGGTCACAGGTGAAGGTCAATAGTTCATGGTTATTGATTATGAGTATACTGCAGGATGCTGCACGATATTACTAAATCTGTAGTTTTCATATTATTACAATATGGAATCTCTCAAAGTAATTTCTTTTTCTGGTGCAATGCATGTTAGATGAGTTATCCCCATTTTAAATAAAGTCAATGGAATGGAGGTGATCATATACTGTAAACCAACTTTTATTCGCATACGAGAAATATTCGTGAGTTTTGTGACCTACTTTAAGTCGTGAAAATTAATTGCAGCGAACCATTTATTTTGCTTTGTTTTTATAGAAAATATTTCCTCATTCGTGAAAATGAATCGTCACAGATTGATTTCAAACTGACGAATCGCGAATAAAAGATGACAAGAATAATAATTGGTTTACAGTAAATTGGGGACAATTCTTTTTATAGAATGTAAAATTTGCAAACTAGGACTTACCATATTGCAAAGTAAAGACATTCCATTTCACTTTCTTTTGGTTAGAATATTTGTTTAATGTTATATCTGTATTTGGTGGTTTAACACTATGATAGCTGTTGGCATGGTTATTGTGTTATTTTGTTGTTTATATGTTGAATTGGATATGAACAGGAGTATTCACAAATAAAAAAAACAAGAGATACTGTTCTTTTTTTTTGTTTTGTTTTTTTTTTTTTTGGAGGGAGGGTTGTCAATTTGCCTGAAATTTTATCAGAATTTCAATTCATTAATACCGGTAAAATCTGAGGATTGAATTGATCAGTACATGTTATATGCATACATTGTATGTTACAGGCCTAGAAATTGTGATAAAACCTATGTATTAAGCAAATAAAGAATACTGGTAATAAAAATGGTCAAAAGCACTGAAGTTTACCATTTAGGACCTATTATAATGGAAAAGGAAAAAATCATTAATTTGCATTTATTCAAAATCTTATATGGTATGTTTTTAGCTCAACTGAGATTTATGATCTAGATTCAGAGATTCAGAGTAAATTTACTGTTAATATTTTTTACTGGCAATGTGTTATTGTTGTTTTTTGAGGTTAATACAATAACTGGAGGACAATACCGTATTTTGAAGGTGGCTTAATTATGACATTGATTGAAAACAACAGTAATGATAGGTATATAATATACAGACTTGTCAAGCAATCCATGCTAACTTGTTATATTGAACTGGTCTAAGCCATTCACTATGAGAGAAAAAGGTATAGAGTACCCAGTAAATATAATCAGTTTTAAAATATTTTTTCACTTTGATACAAATCAAACTGAACAATCAAAAATTATATTGAAGGACTTTTCATTAATGTTACATTTTTTTTTTGGTCGAACAATTAGTTTGGGTATGCAAAAACCACTAGAAGAAATGAACACTCTTCTTTGACTAACTATTTATAATAATTAAACTTGAATGAGGTCACTCTCTTACTGTATATCTGAATTAGCAATTGATAATATTGACAAAATACTTTATAATTAAGTTACATTTGTTGCTGTGATGCACCTGCTGGGGTATGGAAGGCAGTGAAAGACATATGAACTTCCTTCTGTGACTAATTAATGAAGAGTTTGAAAATCAAACAAACAAAGCGCCGATATACAATGTAAACTTAGAACTTACTGCTTTCACTGTATATACTGCAGCATTTGTTAGGCGAATCTCACCATTATTTCACATTGAACACGTGTCATTTCCATTGTTCACTCTTAATTTGACGTTTGATCACATTTTGTACATGTACATGATTGTCTGAAGTCTTATAATTATAGTTTACAAACTGGCCGCCTGTTAGCATTGACCGAACATTTGCATAATATTTGCATAACCACTGCTCTCTCCCACTATGAACATGTAGCCATCAACTGCGTTCATAGGACTATAGACGCAACTGCTTCTTCTATAAGTGCAATTGCTCTATCTCACTTGTGTAGAACAAGCTCTAGTAAAATAACATAATGTTTTGAGAAGTATATATATGAAATGTTTCGTAAAAGGACTAAATTTAAGTTTTTAATAATATTTTTTGGAAAAAAAGGAATTCAGAACAATTTGAAATTGCTGTTTGATATCTTTAAAAATTTAATTTTGGTCAATGTATTTAATTGTAAAATAAAACTTTTTAAAAATTGAATAGAATTCCATATTTTTATTTTTTCGTATCATGCATACTTGTACAAAGAACGATAACTCTTCAAACTTGGGTAATAACATTCAGAAAGAGAAAATTTCTTTAAGTAGTAGATCTATATCTGTTTCAAGAAAAAATAAATAGAAAAAGTACCCCCAAAAATCACAGAAAAGCATACTAGAGTAAAAATCATAATAAAAGCATTCTCATTTTTATCATAGTGTTAAATTTTTGATTTTTGTCAGAGGATTTCAATAACGTTGACCGATGACGTCACGACTGCATCAAAACAAAAATTAAGAGAATGTGATGACGGCGCTGCTTGTATCCAGATAACTGTGTTTGAGAGGGAAATACTTTTTAAATTGTGATTTATGAGAGAAAAGGAGTATTGATCAGGTGTATTGATTTTAAAGCCGTATGTTTTTCTTTACTGAAGACAGAAAAAGCTACGTCCTTATGTAAGTCAGGATTTCCTCTGATATTCTTGTCAACATCAAAGAATGCAAATATAAGTAATAAACAACGGTTATTTAGTGAACATGGCGTAATGAATAGCAATAGCCCTGCTGGCATATTTTCCATGCCAGCAGAGCAATTGCTATTCATAACGCCATGTTCACTAAATAACGTTGTTTATTTCTTAAATAAAGGGTGTTAAGAAAGTTCATTCCACATTTTTCTTTCATTTTCGAAAAGAAATACGATGAGAGGATATTTACAATTTGTGATATTTCATGTTCACAGAATGTATTCTTTCAATTGATAGTGTTTTAATTGTCCTTTGCTGAAACTACCAAGGGGAGGGTGGGTATCAAAACAGATGATATTTGTGCAGAAAAATCAAGGATGAAGCATATCTGTGACATATATTTAGCACACAAGTCAAAAAATCTTTTCAAATACCGGTACTATCAAAAAATTATCAAGTCAGTGAAGAATTTCAAAATGACAAACCTATTCTTTCAAAAAGTGACGAATCTTTCTTATACCTATAATTATAAAGCTAATCAGATTTGTATGATTCAAGATAAGCTGTGAAGAAACAAAAGTAAATTATAATAATCATATAATTGTCGCTCAAAATGACCTGCATTTCTGTCATTCGGGTGCTTTAAAGATGTTCATATATATATTTTCAATTGGGAAAAAACTCTAGATCTATAACTTCCTGTTAGAAATGAATTGCTATACTTCTAAAGCACACTTTTCTGACTTTGTCAGATTTAAAAATTCATCTCTTTTGATTAGCAGTTGTTTGAAATTTTCAAAAATATTTCATCATGGAACGAACTTTCTTAACACCCCTTATAAAGTAGAGTGCAAAGATCGTTTTATCTACGTTGTTCAATCAAAGGGCCATAAGTTGAGTAATGTGTACACCAGGTCACGTGATCCTCACATCAACGTTATTGTTAGCTTGTTGACGCGACCTCTAATTATAGAATGGAACTTTGTAACAAACTAACATCATGCAAATTTTACAACTTACAACCAGTCCCAAGAGAAAAATGTATATATCAAAGGCTGTCTTAGGAGGGTGGATAGCGGGGTATAGCACCTGTGTAAACAAATTATTATCATTGCAAACTACTGCATGCGCTCTGCTGCAATACTGTGCAACACATTGTAATGCCTGGCAACTTGCTCAAATAGTTGATTTAATTCGTAACTGAATTCAAAATAAGATTAAAAATCAACACATTTTCTAGTTCGTATTCTGAATTCAAAAATAAAATTGAAAGAAGAATCTTTTGACTTATTATTTATAATACATGTAATTAAATAAACTTTACCGGGGTCAATTTCGTTATTTCTTTGTTTTTAATTTCCGACATTTTTCAGATAGTACTTTTAGTAACAGATTTGAAGACTCTACCTATGAAAAATAAATAAATAAAGGAAATTTAATATCTGAGTTTTGTAAATCTATAAATGAAGCGACTGTGAATATATAAATTTCCCTCGGGCAGATATGTACGTGTTGTGAACGATCGCTCATCTCCTTTTCAAATGTTGTGTTGAGTTTGAAATTTTTTAATCAATATTTGTTTATAAATAATTTTAAAATTCTATCATTTACTATTCCAATTACTTGGAAAACATTAAATTGTCGCACAGGTAAATTCCGGGAATGAAAAGAATAATTGTGTCGGAAATGAAATTTTAAAAATGTCGGAAATGCTATGCAGATTTCAGTAAATAAAATGAGAACAGTTACTTCAAATAAATGACCACTCCTAATATTAGAGATATTAACCGGCATTATCAATTCATTTCAATATCTAATTTACAATATCTCTATATATTCATTAGTTTATGTAATTTGGCGCTCTATATTGACAAACTTGTAACGAGAATTTCTTCAGTTGGAATTAACTCCAAGTTTATGTTACTGGCAAAGTCATTAAAACAAGAGATGTTTGTAAAACACTTATGCCCCCTCCCTCAAATAATAATTAATTGTAAGAACGGAAACTGCAAATTATTGGAATTTTTCTAAGTACAACGGGCATAACTCTGTCCAAAAAGGTCCGATCATAGCCAAATCAGAACTTGACCCAGATATTCTTCTGTTAAATCTGTATACCAAATTTCATTTCAATATGTGCAACCTCTGCGAAGAAAATGAACGGAAACTGATGGTGGACTGACAGACAGACCGACCGACAGACAGCAGCAAAGCAATATGCTCTCCCGTCTTCGAAAGAGGGCATGAGAATAAGTCCCTTTAACTATTTGGGTTAAACTGAACGATTTAAAGTAAGTAAGGTATATTGAGATACCCAGTATATCGGTCACAATATCTTGCAATATCACTTCCGCTTTCGGTTTAATGACAAAAACAGGAATGAACGAGTTCGATATAGTAGCCGCGATTGACTTTGGAACAACATACTCGGGGTATGCTTATTGTTCTAAAAATGACTTCAAACAGCAACCCCCATACATCAAGACCAGCGCCTGGAGATCAGGGACGGGAACCAGCGATAAGTTTATGAAGACCCCCACCACAGTTCTCTTTGATAAGGATGAAACATTTCACTCGTTCGGATTTGAGGCAGAGAAAAAGTACCTGAATCTTGTTTTGAGAAATCAACATGAAACTTGGTACTTTTTCAGGAATTTCAAAATGCGGCTTCACCAAAAGGAAGCTGATGTAAGTACAAGAAAGTATACAACTACCCATTTTTTATTGGTCGTTGCATTTAGTGAATTAAAGACAAAACAAAGAAGCAAATTCAAAGAATTGTGGTCCCCCGCTTTCGGTGTCTTTGTGGGTGAGTTGTCTTTTATTTAATGGCATATTGTGTCAAATATGAATGCCCTTTCATATGTCATTCAGAAGTTATCACCGAAGTTGTTTTTTGTTTTGAAAATCAGGTCAATCTTGAAGGTCAAGGGTTTGAAATCATAGCATGCTCGGAAATATCTTGTCACAGGTAAAGCACTTGTCAAATATGAAAATCCTATCTCTTCTAATTCAAAAGTTATACGGAAAAAT